TGGGTTGGGGGGCCAGGTGCCCCCCCCCCCACGTGCTCTCCAGCGGACTCAGAAGTGAACCAGAAGTACTTCCAGTTCACTTCTGGGTTTGCTGCTGAGCATGTGGAGGCCCCCCCCTCCTGTGGGATGCTCCATGTGCCCCAGCAACTCACCGTTCACAAGGTGCACTGCTACCTAGAGGCACGTATAAAAAACTTTTAAAGCTGTGTCTGTCAGAATCGCTGATTCTCCGAATTGGCATCGAATCTTCAGATTCAGATTCAGCCAAATCGAATCAGGGACAGTGATGCAAATCAATGAGGCATGCTAAATTGATTTTTGATTAGTTTGCAGATTAGTTTGCCGTCTAATCTGTATTTTAAGCTGTTTGTTCAAAGCTTTACCGTTGAGTTGAAGCTGGTGAGCCACCTGGTTGGCTGTGTGCGATGTTATGGTATTGCTATACTTTGTTTGGGTTATTACTCAGCTTTCAAATGGTTAACCATGCTTTCCTGCTAGTGTGGGTCATTTATTCCTTCAATCAATTCTTTCCCTTTCCATTGCCTTTCTTCTTGGAGCTTGTTAGTTAGGGCTATCCCTGCTGCAATAGTATCTTGTGAGAAAGGAACTCTTTGAAACATTTTCTGGTATTTTTTGTATTTGGTTGCTAGCATGGGAGTAAACACTGGTATGCACTCAGTTCTGGTCCTCGAGTTATGTGCCTCTTGGAGGTTTTGCGCAGTGCATTCACAAAGGGGTGGTAGTTATCCGAGACTGGTTTGATGTGTGTCACTTTTTTGTCAAGGCTTTCAGAAAAAAACCTCCTCTCTGTCTAACTGAGACAACATACAAATGGTTCAGTGCCAGTGTAATACAGATATATAGTGCCAATGTAATACGGATATATAGATGTTGGATACATCGGCCACTAGAGCAAATTTGCGATAAAGCAGTTGAAGTCAGTGCTGAGAACTACAGATACAAGATCTGGATTTATCTTTTTAGTGCTGAGATGAACTTATTAAAGAGAAACTGACCAAAAAGCAGTCTCACCACCCCGAAATCGAGAATACAGTTTTATATATGTATTCACCTGGAACTTGTGTTTTGCAGAAGCAGGCAGCCTGCGAACAAAACAGTCAAAAAATTTTTTCTCGTGTGTGCCTGACATACTTTAAAACAAAATCAAAATATTTAACAAAACAGTTCGAATAAATTGTGGAATGAAAAATCAATCATGCTGCTGGTTTTACATGTGGAACCAAGTCCTGCTCAACCACTCTGTGTGTGTATATATACACACAAGTGTATATGCATAGTGACTGGCTAAACTTTTGAATCTAGTTGAGCTTTCTTTGAGCTGTTCAATGCTGTCAGCTTCTGCTTCCTGGATTTGGATGTCTGGTGCTAAAAATATTTGTCTCCATAACATGATCCTGACTGCCTATTCCAGAAGGCTGCACTATGTTGTATTTTAATATTTCAAACAGGAAATGTCAGGGTCTGAGATGTTCAACCCAGCCTATGATACCTGCACATAGCCATGTAATGCTTTAGATTATTAGGGGGTGAGTCACATTAGGTGTGGATGGTTTCCAGACAAAGCTTTCATTGAATTGGGCCTGTGTCACCCTTCAGACCCTGGTTTAGGATCTTCAAGTTTGCTTCCAGAGGATGTGTGGGAAACCCTTATGAACTATCAAGGAGCTCTCTCCTACCCCATCTCTTATCTTCCGTTCCCTGTTTTTACTTCATGTTAACACAGCTCACCAAACCTGAGTCCTTCCATGGTTTTTTCCTTCCCTTTCAGGTCTCTGTATCTAAGACCTTCTTCATAATTTTGTAAAGGCCTCTCATAAAACCTACTGAGTTTTATATGTCCCATGTATACCATATTCCTGAAAAAGCAGATAACCTTCCTCTTGTCCTCTTGTTTTCAAAACCTTCCTACGCTTGCTACCTCCATCTCTGTAATCTTCTGTTTTCTCTTGATTTAGCAGGTAATCTGGCTAGAAGAGGGACTGCGTCTTTATATGAACAGTAGAGAGGCACATTCCCTTCTGGTGGGATTTTCATCATGTACAGCTGGTTTCATACTATAAACATTTTATTATTTAAGACCTGGTTCTCAAGTGAGGTCTGTACTAGTGCATGCAAAATAGAAACACAATTATGTGCCTAATTTTCAATAGCAAATGCCTGTTTTCCATATGCCAGTGCAGCAAGTGGAAATGCAAATTACTGTACTCATTCGTACGTTCTCCCAGGTTTTTTTAGACTTGGGTCCTAAGGATATTTAATGTGCAGAATTTCAGATATTCAAAACATCATTAAAATTGATTGTATAATACTGCATAAGCAATGCATACAACATTTGCCCTGCCACAGAATCCTCTTCTGCAAGCACGATCATTTCCTCGTCACTAGCCTATTTTTCACCTGTTCTTGTTCTGCTCTGGTGTGTTGGCAAAACAGCTGGCTGCACTACAGGACACTCCCAAGTTCCTGTTTCTTTCTAGTTTGCATTTTGCTGCCTCCCCTGGGCTCCTGCCTGCTTCACGAAATACAAAGGCCAGTAAAATGTCTGGATGGAACAAACAACAGCCCATTGCGTTGCCTTTGCGCCGATCGCTCACCGCTTGCTTTTTTCTTGTCAGGTTATCAGAAGTCTTGCCTTTGCAAATGGGGGAACAAAAGGAGGGGCCATGAACTTGAATAGACCAGTTTCTGCCAATGCTAAGCACCTTCCCTCATTTATTACACCAGTATCAGGATGCTTTGCCAAGGCAGTGTGAATGCGACTCACACTCCCTGGCTTTAAATCCTAGTAACACTTCAGTGGTGCAAGTGAAGGATACAGTCAGGTTGGCTAATGCCAGCATTCAATTTTTTGATGCTATGAAGAACTGACAGTTAAAAACCTGAACAGAGCAGCCTTGAAGTGCATGTGTGAACCCTAATGCTGTGATAAGCGACATGTACCTAGTACATACACGTCTGTTGGTATGTCTGTATGGTTGGTGACTCACTCATCCCCCAACGCAAGGCTGGGAAAGAATCTCAGGAAGAGAGGGGTTTGTTTTGCACTTTCCTATCCCATGTATTTGCGGTCACAAGGAAACTGCGCTGGATCTCTCCCTGGATGCATCCTAGTGCTCGGCGCTGTGAGCAAACTGCACGCTGAAGGCCATGTATCACCTCCCTCTCTATGTCGATCCTAGCATGCAACAAGTTCGGCCTCTCCCTGCAGAGCCTGCTCTAACTGAAGCAGCACAGCAGCTCCTTAGTACAGAAGGGATTGGGTTTCACAGGCGGTGTGATCTGTGACTGCACTCTTTGGCTTAGGCTATGGCAACAAGCCTCATTGGGGCTCAGCCTTTCCCTCTCTGACTGTAGAGGAACGCCCCAGTCTACATAGAAGGAAAATTGTTTTGCTGCATTTCTGCACAGCCCTCACTCCAAATGCAGTAGAGAGGGAGAGAGAGAGAGATTGGGGGCAGGCTCTGGACTGGTGTTCTGGGCTATTTCAACTTCAGGGCAACTTTAGAGAACTTCAGTTATTTTGGGTAAGTTTGTTTAAATCTCTCTCTCTCTCTTCCTCTCTCTCTGCCCCCTTTTTCTGCAATGCATTTCACACAACTTTGCAGCAAATTAAAGGGATTTTTAAACAAGGAACTTTAGCCCTGGGTGTCCTTTGGTGTAATAACTTGTCAGATTATAACTGTCATGCCAGCAGCTACCACCCTCGAGGAGTGAAGCATACATCAACGTGCGCACCCCACCCCACCCCACCCCACCCCTTCTAGAGAAACCTAATGAGGAAAGATTTAAAGTAAGGTACTTTACACAGAGCTAAAACTTCTTTATCTGATATGCATTTTTGTCTAGGTCTCGTGCTGAGAGAGAAACAGATTTATGAGAGATTAGTGAGTTTAACACATGCTTGACAGCGTTCTGATGTGGTTTCCTGAGACGGGAGATTTAGCACTTGTGCATAAACTTCACATGCTTTCAGGGAAGGATCTGCTTGGAGTCCTGTGCATTTCGCACCGTTCAACAATCTCTATTCAATCATACATGTTGCTTTCCCTCTTCCCCACTCTTTGCACTGCACAGGAGAACCCAAAAGCAGGCATTGTGAAACTCTATTTAAAGGAAATTAAAGTCACAGCCCTAAACTGCTTCAGTGCATTGCAGTGTGCACACAGCTGTTTGATTGCAGTAACATTGATTTATAAATGTAAAGGAATCTCGTGTGAGTGCTTTGCGTTAAATATGTACATTGGTATTTTTATGGTGGATTTATTACAAGAGGAATGATGTATGTATGCATATTACATATCAATAAATACCGGTTACAATATATATAGCATCTTGGAATGTGTGGTTGGCACCAAAATGCTGTATTTTGGTAGTTTATGAGATAAGGATCAATCTCTCAAATGTTTAAAAGAGATATACAAATGAGATTCCACATATCTTTCCTATGGGTAGTAGAACCACTCTAGAAAAACCTGATAATAATTAAGATTTGTCTCTCTGACTAAATTCCAATAATCCCATCATTCGACCCAATGCCATTAATGCTAACTTCATACCCGAATTATTTTCAGCAGGGCATTTGCATTGAGTTTCTAGCTAGCCTGTGCATAGAATGAGAAATAGCTAGCACCTTTGACAGGCAAGAAGAAAAACATTCCCGGAGAGGGAACAGTTCAGATATGAAATTTATGAAGCAAGAAACTCTGAAGGTTTAGTGTATTCAGTGACTGCCACATACCCTGCTCTGATCATTGCTACCTGTTATGTACAGAATGCTGGCTTCAACCTAACTGTAATTATTGCTTAAGTTATACACCTTGTTATGCCAAAGAGTGAGTAACTAAGAAAAGTGCCAGCTCCAAAAGAGATTAAGCCAGAGATATTTTTTCTTTTTTGCAAATGAGCTTCTTCCCACACTTGCTGCTAATGTACTTGTATAAACAGTGCAGAAAAACCCTGCAGTTTAATTAGCATCATGAAATGCATCATGTTTCAGAGCTTTATTGGCCTGCTGCATTAGTTATTTTTGAAGTTGCTATTTGTACAACCTTAAAAGTTAAATGCTAAAACTGTACCAGTTCTGCTTGAGTGCTTGCAAGTCCCATGCTAGCTTTCGGGTTGTTTTTTTTTTATGAGTTACTAGAGATTTGTCAGCTGAAATCGCATTTTACTATTTTTGGTGTGGCCCTCTCATAAAGTAAACTCAACTATTAGGTTACAAGGTTTGTGTAAATCTTCTTCAGCTAATGTTGGTTTGACCATACTCAGGCCTTACAAGTAATTCATTGAAGATGGCTAAACTCCAATCTACTGTAAAGCTGTTTTTAGCATGAAAAATGTTAAGTTTGTTTAGTCAGAAGTGGTGTCAGTAATTTCTTAGTGTTGATTACCCAATGATTTGGGAAGAGTGAATGTTTTAAGTTATTAATCATCTTGGAAGGTCAGTCTGCATACTCGGCTGTGCGGTCAACTTGCCTTTATTCACTTATAGTGGGAGTTGGAGCTCATCCCCGACGTGAAATCCAGCAGTCTGTGTAGAATATACAGCCAGGGAAATAAACCTTTAAAGGCCTGATACTGCCCCCATTGACTTCAGGGAGCTGAGAATCAGAAGTAAGGGCCAAATTCTTCTACTCTTCCTTGAGATTTTACTATCTTGGCCAGTTTTCCAAGGTATTGTGAAGAGCATGGAGTTAGCTGAAGCAGAATCTGGCCTTTAACAACTTCTTCAGAGAAATATTCTACCTTCCACATAGCTGTCAGAATTTATGCTCCTTGGTTTGAGTCTTTAAAGAATCACAAAACTTCTTTGTCTTGAATATACTGGCTTTGAAAAAAGCCAGTTGTCCTGTGTTGAAATAGAGAGTCTCTGGGATTCTTCACATCATCACCATAATGGACTAACCAGTCAGGAAATAAAATAGATGCATTTTAAAGATGAGAAAGTAACGTACAATTGATCACATAATTTTATATGGAGCTATTTTTGCGTGTTGTAATCCCTTCTGTATCATAGAGCCAAGAAAACTTGAATGGAAGAGTCAGAGCTGCCACCCACCCCACCCCCCCCCGCCCCACCACTTCGAGTACTTAGGGACATCCAGATGCAGGTTCAATCTTACACTCTTTAAACAATGACTCTATAATGCCACAACTATAGAGTCAGCTCTGCCTGAAGTGCGGGGACCTGCCATTCTGTACAGTAAGGGATGGCTCTGTGTACCAGGAAGACCAAGACTTCCCCTGGGGCAGTGACTTGATACTTCTGTTTTGTCTCTTCTCTAAGTCCTACTGCTCTTACTGACCACCCTGTTTTCCTTTTCAGCTGGCTACTCTACTTCCTGCCATCCCCTAGCAGTAGGTTAGAGCACACATTCTCCTAAATTGAGGCTCTAGATGAGCCAGGACTGAATGACTGTCTAGGAACTGCCGCCTTCAGCATGTTCTGGCTGAGATAGGTGCACTCAGCCTGGAAGCCAGGAGGCTGATGCATCTCCTCCACCGTCGTGCCAGGAATATGTAAGGAGGACACTTTTCTTGTAAGGAGGAATATTTCTTGTGCAAACTGCAACCAGGCCTTGGAGGAGTGGAGGTGCAGCTGTGGAGGGCCTCTGATCCATTAGGCAGGAACAACATTGCTCGTCTTGGGAGTTCAAAACTCAGAATCTGTTGTCAATTTAAGCTTTGTTACCCATAGTAGGTGAATTGAGTACAGGGAAGTGGACAAGTGCAAGGGGGGAAAGAAAAGAAAGAACTAGGAAAATGCTCTTGAGGTTTCATAGATTTCATAGACATCAGGGCTGGAAGGGACCTCGGAAGATCATCGAGTCCAGCCCCCCGCCCAAAGGGCAGGAAGTCAGCCGGGTTCATAGGATCCCAGCAAGATGAGCATCCAGTTTGCTCTTGAAGGTGTTCAATGTGGGCGCTTGAACCACCTCCGGTGGCAGGCTGTTCCAGACCTTGGGGGCTCGGACAGTAAAGAAATTCTTCCTTACGTCCAGCCTGAAACGGTCTTGTAGTAGTTTATGACCATTCGACCTAGTTGTCATCCCTTGGGGTGCTCTGGTGAACAAACGTTCCCCCAGATGCTGGTGGTCACCCCTGATAAACTTGTAGGTGGCCATCAGATCACCCCTGAGCCTGCGCTTTTCCAGGCTAAAGAGCCCCAGGGCTCTCAGCCTGTCATCGTAGGGTCTGCTTCCCTGACCTCTGATCATGCGCGTGGCTCTTCTCTGGACTCTCTCAAGCTTCTCCACATCCTTTTTGAATTGTGGAGCCCAAAACTGGACGCAGTACTCCAGCTGCGGCCTCACTAAGGCCGAGTACAGGGGGAGAATGACATCCCGGGATTTGCTTGAGAAGCATCTATGGATGCAAGCCAGCGGTTTGGTCGCTTTACTAGCCGCCGCATCGCATTGCAGGCTCATGTTCATCTTGTGGTCAATGATGACCCCCAAGTCTCTTTCTTGCATAGTGTTGGCCAACATAGCACTGCCAGCATCTATGCTGGCAGGAACTACCAACACGCATGATCTGATGCATAGGGGCTGAGGAAACATGACTTATGACTGAGAAAAGGTTGGAAGAACTGGAATTCTTGTACAGAAGATTCGGGGGGTTGACCAGTCTTCAACTACCTGAAGGGCAGTGATAAAAAGCATGGTGACCAACTATTCTCTGTGCCTGCAGAGGACACAACTAGAAGTAACGGTCTTATACTGCAGCAAGGGAAATTTAGGCCGGGTGCTAAACAGAACTTTCTAATGCAGATGTTGGTGAAGGATTGGAAGAGATTACCTAGAGAGGTTGGGGACAGGGGACGTGTGTAGACAAAACGAGGGCCCTACATTGAAGCACTGGGTTGTTAAACCTACCGCTTCAATTTAGGGCAAAGTAAACCCCCATGTCGTGCACACCCCCCACACTTCCCTGCCTCTCCAGTGGCGGGAAGGGGAGGGCAAGGGCAGGCGGAGCGGTCCCCGGGGGTGAGGAGGGGGAAGGCGCGGGGGGGGGTCCCCGGGGGGGGCTGCCTGGCCTGCTGCTTCCCCCCACGGCAGCGGCAGCCCCCGCCTGCAGGCATCCGGCTCGGGCGGTCCTGGGCGGCACTGCAGCCCTGGAGGGAAGCACCAGGCCCCTGCGCAGCTCAAGCAGACTCCAGGGGGGGAAATAAAAAATCAGGCTCAACGCTTTTCTTGCGCAAGCTGCTTTCCCGAGCTGGTACTAAGATGCCTGCTGGGCTTCCTGGAGAGCCGTGGAGCTGCACAGAGCCCAGTGCTTTGCTGCACGGCTTTAGGGGCAAACTAAAACTCCTCGAAGGAGTTGCCCCAAGGAGTTGCTGTGCCCCAAGTCATTTAAGGCGCATTATACTGCTGAATTTCCTACAGCGGCTGGAATTACTGTGCAATACATCACCAAGGTGTGCAAACACTGACACAATTAAAGTGGTGCAAAAGCATTTAGCCTGCTTTAAAGTGTCGGGGGCACACACGTCCCACTTAGATACTATCTCCATCCTTGGGAGTTT